ACCAATGTCATAAAACAATATGTGTACTACTGTTTCATGAGAAACTATTTGTTCTGTAAGCCTTCACCTGAAGTACAATTAAAAAAAAAAAAATCGCATCTGAATGGAATAAATAAATAAATAAATTCCGGATAGTTGAAAGATTTAACATTCAATATTCCTCTAAAACTATAAGAAAAAAGGAGATTACTATACGGCCTCATGCTAGAGGACTTCTTAAAGACACACACAAAACAAACGATAAGATATATTGGTTTGATTTAAAAATTAAAAACACTTGTACAGAAAAAATGCATCCTAAACAGGACTAAAAGACAAGTAACCAACTGGAAGATATTTGCAATGTAGACAACAGAGAGAGGACTAGTATCTAGAATAGTTAAATTACTCCTGCAACTCAGTAAAAAAAAAAAAAAAAAAAAAAGGCAAACAGTACACTCCTTAAAAAAACACAAACAACAAGCCAATAATACATACTACTAGTGATTCACCAGTGAGGAAATCCTAATTATCATTACACAAATTAACAATTTAAAAATGCCCAGACTCACTAGTAATAACAGAAAAGGTAATTAAAACAATGAGATGCAATTTTCACCCATTAGAATCGCAAAAAATTTATTACCAAGTGTTGACAAGGATGTGGGAACACAGCTCTGAAATACTGCTAGTGGGACTGAAAACTTCGAGGGCCTCCTGCCTCTTACAAAACTGAAAATGCACATCTTTATGACCCAGGGAGAAATACAAAAAAAAAGGTCACTACAGAATTGTTTCCATAGGAAAATATTAAAACACTTTTGCAGTGAACTTTTTTTTTGTATCTTTCCTTGGGTCATTAAAAAAAAAAAAAAGTGCATCTCCAGGTTTTATAAGAGCCAGGTGAATACACTTAAATGTCCATCAATAGAGGAATAAATAAACTAAATGTGCTGTATTTATTCAATACAGTGGTTATAAATAATTAACTAGATCTATACATATCAATGTGGAGCCCTGGTGGTGCAATGGTTAAAGCGTTCAGCTGCTAACCAAAAGGTTCACTGTTTGAACCCACCAGCTACTCCTCGGAAGACGTGGCAGTCTGCTTCCGTAAAGATTTACAGCCTTGGGAACTCTATGAGGCAGTTTTATTCTGTCCTACAGGGTCACTGTAAGTCGGAATTGACTCGACGGCGCTGGGTTTGGTTTGTTTCGGTTTATGCATAGCATAGGTAGACCCCCCCCCCCAAAAAAACACATGTGAAAATAAAGAATACATTCAGCTTGATGACACTGACGTAAAATTTAAATACAGCAAAACAATAAAGTTTCCTACAGATACCAGATGAAAATGTAAAAAATGGATGAAAGCATACACAAAGTCATTGCCTTGTCAGAGTACAAGACAGGAAAGGGACTTTGAGGACTGGTTGAAGGGAGACTTTACTTACATCTTAATGTTTTATTTATTAAAAGAAGGAAAGCAAATATAACAAAATGTTAATTATTATTTCTGGATGGTGGAAGTGTGAATACTTATTTTATTTTATTTTTTTAAGTTTTCATTTACTTCTGTTGCTCAACCCCAAGCTCTGTCCCAATACCAGCAGAAAATACAGGCAATATCAGACACATTGAAAACCAGAACAATACTGAACTTTGTACGTGATTTAAATGAGGTTCAAAGTAAATTTTGACTGTAAGCAATTTTTGCCTTCACTGACAATTTAGTATTCATCCTCTTACAAGTTGAGACTCACAGTATTTGTCAACATAACTTAAAAGCAAACCACATGTAAAACATTTTCTTTATTTAGATAAAGATGTTTGAAGGACGGATCTTAGCTACAAAATTAACCAAAATCGTTTTCCTCCAGTGCCATCTGGTGGCAAGAAGAGGTAATCCGACCTGCCACAAAATAACGTGTACCACTTTTTTCAACTGTGGGTCCTCTTTTGTTTTTGAAGTTACTGTGCAGGGTTATTATTAACTGCTTACTTTCTTTAGAGCCTTCTTCAGCCCACAGGTTAGATACGAAGCAAGTGGACAGATTTCTTTTTTCTTAGTCAAAAAGAAATGGGGCGAGTGGGGCCTTGCCTAGCTTCCACTGATTTGTCATCTGTCAGACGGAATACTTTTGGTACCATTTTGAAGAGTTGCACTTTTACGTAAAAGTCCTACTCAGAGAGTCCTTTTTTTTTTTTTTTTTAATCAAATGATACCTTCATTTCTGTTCCTCACCAGACCATTCTGTAATCATAATCTGCAAATTCATCCACATTTCAATCCTTCTAGCATAAAAAAATTCCAATGGTTGATTTTTATATAAAATATTTTAGTGTCATTTTATTTTACATAAGCTTATGATGTAAGAATTTTTCATTTAAAGGACAGAATTTTTTAAATATATAACGTATTGTCACTATAAATATGAAGAACGTATTGTCACTATAAATTTGAAGAAGAAATTACAGAGTAAACAGTTCCTTCTTCCGAGCACTTGATGAGATAATAAAAAATATACAGTACCTTACCAAGAGCCAATACAACAGGCTAGACTTTACAGACATGGTTATTAATCTTCTGTCTTGCAATACTGAGTTCCTTCAGCCATTTACAATCCAGAAATGTAACTTAGCAGGGTGGTACGATTACTCTGGAAAATGCCAACTGTACTCACACAAAATAAGTCAATTCTAAACGGTTTTCCATTAGTGTTTTATGTGGCTATGGTTCCATCTGAACATTATAACTTGCTATAATAGAAAGCTTTTTAACCATTTGCAAATCAGCACTAGCAGGGGGTGGAAATAAAGCCAAAGGCGCTCTCTCAGAGGCTCAAAACTGTTAAATTCTGCTGTAGAATTAAACTTAGCGGGTTTCAGTCATTCCATTTAGATGATCCTGTAGGTTCATGCAAATGCACTGAATTGTTGGTTTAACTTCTTTTCCCTCCTCAAAATTTATGATAAAGAGACTCATTCCTGTATTGGGGCTGACTAACATAAGTTCGGATTTGCTCAGAGTTGCTGGTAGGGAACACTTAAGGTCAGTCAGAAAATAACTGAACAGGCTTCTCATATAAGCTCCATGGCTCACAACTAAGACACTGGCTACTAATCCTGTGGTACCGTCATGTGAATTAAATTCAGATCCACAGTTTTTTCCTAAAGGAAATATTTCTGCCAGGGAAGTTTCCAGCAAGCGGCCTGGTACTCCTTGAGAAAACTGTTCTTTTTGATCTGCTTCTTTCAGGATCAGTTGACAGAGAAATTCAAAAAAGTCTTTTCCACGCATTTTCACCTACAAGGAGAGAAATACAAAGTGAAAGTTCTCAGACAGAGCGACATAAATGACTGCCTTAAAACATAAATGTAAAACATAACTGATTTGATTTTTTCTAATATGTCCACAGAAGTACTACATAAGCAGATGAATCTTAGCCTATCTTTCTACTCATTTATTCAGTGGTTCCAAAGACATTAGTAAGTGCCCACCATATGCTGGGGACTATGAAAGTAGACTGTGGACAATGATGAATAAGATACAATTCCTGATTCCCGACTTCAAAGCACTCATAGTCTAGTTAGGGAAATCCACAAGTATATGGAAACTTACAAAACAGTGCTAATCAGTAAACTTCCTCTGGCACTTCAGTTCAGTTACAACAAAAATAATCTTTCCCTCAATCAAGCAATATTAGGTCTTTACAAGAAAATTATGAAAACCAAGACTAGGGGGTGGGGGGATTATCAAAAATGCAATTCAAAAGCAAAACACGCCAAAGAAATGCAACATTAACAGAACTGAAGAGGCAGTAGAGGGTGAAGATTTCACCTCTTGAATAATTTTACCTATCACTCTCCTTCAACAGCACCACACTTATTTTACTGCTACTAAACCCGATTCTGACTCATAGAGACCGTACAGGACAGAGTAGAACTGCATCACTCGACTGCTAACCTGAAAGTCAACGGTTCAAACCCACCAGTGCACTGCAGGACAAGTATGTGGCAGTCTGCTTCAATAAAGATTACAGCCTAGGACTACCACTACTACAGCTAAAGTTACTGCTTCATATGCAACGGTTAACATGCTCAGCTGCTAACAGAAAGGTGTAAGTACACCCAGAGGTGCCCAGCACTCTTACTTCTGAAAAATCAGCCATTGAAAACCCTATGGAGCACAGTTCTACTCTGAAACACATGGGGTCGCCATGAATTGGAGTCGACTCAATAGCAACCACCATCTAATAACACGATTCCTTAAATCCATTATCAGTAATGACTGCTTCCTTAGAGTAAACAAGCTAGGATAAAAAAAACTATGCAATATCTGTATACTGGAATAATACAGTCATTGATTAAGTGATCGTATCAATATGTATCATATCACGCAGAGTTGTTTTATGAACCAAGCAACTATCAAACTGCTCATCTAAAATTTAGAAACATCTAATTGATAAAATGAGTTAAATTTCACCTATTTTATGATACTGGCAAGTTTACAACATGGCAACTTCTACCTGTGCTACATACCTGGTCTAATGTCTCTCCTCCGGGTGGTGTGAATGTGGGAACTTCCTCTCCAGCTGCTTTGGCCAATGCCCTTAGCTCAGCCAGCGCCCTGCCTTCTGCAACCCCGTATTTCTGCAATGGTTCAATACATAAAATTGCCTCCAGTGAATTTGCAAACTAAACACATGGATATGGCAAATTTGGAACAAAGCTTCGTGTCCTCCCGCTTACTTTATTATAACTCCTCTGAACCGACACTGGGACTATACTGAGTACAGTGCCATGTACCCTAGAAAGTGCAGTTGAAATTTTTAGTTGTACACTATGTCACAGTGGCCTATATGGAACAACTCACTCAAGCTAACTTAAGTACAAGGTGAGATGGGGCCCTAACAAAGGACACACAAATCACAAAAGGAATACAAATGGCCAAGAAACATGGGGAAATCTTCTAGCTCATAGGAATCAGTAATGTGAAAACTAAAATGGTACCATTTTTAAATTATTAAGGGGGAAGATCAAAAAGACTACTCTCTGGCGTTGGTGTGAGAAAACAAACTTCCCCCTAGATCACGCACGGGAGTATAAACTGACACTTTCTGAAAGGCAATTGAGCAGTATGTATAATACTCTCAAAAAGTATGCACTCAGCAATTCCATTTCTAGGATTTTATTATATAAATATACAAAGAATGAAGTACAAATGTTTATTTTAGCATTATTTACACACCAGAGGGAAAAAAAACAGTCACAATCTATATGTCCACCAGTCGTTGTTATTGTTGTGTGCTGTCGAGTTCTTCTAACTCTTAGCAGCCTTATAGGACAGAGTAGAACTGCCCCATAGGGTTTCCTAGGCTATAATCCTTATGGGAGCAGATAGCCAGGTCTTTTCCCACAAGCAGCTGGTGGGTTCTAACTGCCGACCTTTGGGTTAGCAGTCAGCCACTTTAACCATTGTGCCACCAGGGCTCCTTCCATCAGTAGTAGCTTGCTTAAAAAAACTATGTGACATCCATATACTGGAATAATATAGAAATTATTAATTATGTCATCATATTGACCTGTATTTATGGGCACTGAAAACAGTACATAGTAAGTTGGAAAAGCTGGTTTAAAAACAGTGCATATAATAGGACTCTATTTTTAAAAAATACATATGCAAACCTACAGATAGATATAGACAGACAGATATAAAAGTTAGGAATACGCATGCCAAAATGTTAATGTTTATCTGTGGGTGGTAGAAATTTTAACTTTTTTTTAAGTTGTTGTCACTTTTAATTTTGTACCATGTAATTGATCTCTTGCATAATAAAATATTTAAACAGACAAATTATTTATGGCTTGCCAAAAATAATTCTATTCTAATTAGATAAAAATCTAACAGTAAAATATTATTTTTTTAATTATTTACAATTTAAGTTTTTAATAAGACTATATGAACATTTTTAATAATTTAAAATGTAATAAACTTTAAATAAGAATATATGCACATTGTGCTATAAAGCCAATCACTTTTCCGACCCTCAAGCCCAAATTCTTCTATCTTCATCTGGAGCAACCTCGTTACAAAGAGGGACATTAAAAACCATCACTTGCTTTGTTTTCACAAGAATGAAAACACTCATTTACTAGACAAATATTCTGAATGCCACTTTGAATACATGTTAGGTGATGAGGCCGGAGCGGTGAAGGGAAGAGAGTCACACAGAGCTCCCCACTTGCGCTGAGACAAGGGGTGGGATACTAACCACTGAGCAATAGTGAAAGAGTGCCGTGATGGAAGGAGACACAGGACACAGAAGCACAGGAGAGAGGTCTATTCTGGACTTGGGGAATCACAGAAGGCCAAGGCCTGAAAGGCAAGTAGAAGTTGGTCAGGTTTGGGGAGCAAGTATTCCAAGCAGAGTGGACGACAGACTCACAAGCTCAGCGAGGAGACAGCAAAGGGTATTTGGGCAACTCAGAGAAGATGCGTAAGAGGTCTATCATCAGTGGTCCAGAGGATGGGCTCTAGGGTCGGATACCCTGATTCGAATCTCGGCTCTGCCATTACTTGCTTGGTTACCCTGGGCATGGACCTAACCTCTGCGCACCTTGGCTTGTGCATCTGTAAAACGAGCCCCCTCCTCATCGGGCTGTTGTGAAGATGAGTACACCTGCAGCGAATGGCAGTGGCGGCATGTGGTGACCACCCCATAAGTGCTTGCTATTGCCTTTAAGGCTGGAGCACTGGGGGTGAGGGAAAGAGGGAGGAGGCAGGCTGCGCATCAAACGGATCACACGGCCAGGTTAAAGAGTCTGGACAACCTCTCTGAGTAAAAGACAACTACTGAACTGTTCTACATAGAACCATAGTAATCAAATTTTCAAAAGATTATTCTGACTGCAATGTGTAGATTATGCTGGAAGATAGCACACTCGACCGAAAACAGGAGAATCCCTGTTACAGTAACCTAGATGAAAGACGACACTGGTCTGCAATAGGAGGACGGCAGTGGGTTTGGAGAGAAATCAATCAATGGATTCAAGAACTACTAAGAGGGAGAACTGGCAAGACGGTGATAAGACGTGAGAGACATGAATGAATGGTTTGAGTAAATATGTAAGGCAGAGCAGGTCAGAGAAAAAGAGTGAGTTCCACTGAGCTGGAAACAGCTATGGGGCAAACAAACAAACAGTAGGCAGTCCGACATGTGAGAGTCAAGCTCATGTAAGAGATTCAACCTAAAAATAAATAGTCAAACCTGTAAGAGCTGGAACGCGACACCACTGTCTTGTTTCTCTTGATCTCGAAAGTTTTCCACTTTTGACAGGGTGCAGTTTTACCACTTTTCTATTACTCTCTATTAGTGGAAAATATTTGAGTTTATCTTCTCCGACAGGTTTCTGTCTTACACAGGTTCCACCTTCGGCAGGTTTTACTGTATTTGGAAATCATCAGCCCAGTAAATTAAGTCAAGGGAGAGGATGAAACTGGTGCTGAAGAGAGCACAGCATAAGAAAATGCCTCCTTCTATTATGTGATAAAAGGTCCCATTCAGCATTCCACTGAGCTGACAGCATTTTTGTGAAGCAATATTTTAGCACTGGTCCTCAGGCAAAGACTGAGCCTTCCCAAGCAGCACTGATGCTGAAGCTCTACATTTGTTACATTTCCACCAGGGTATAGAAGACATTAGGAGTCACTGTGTGGTGCACACAATTAAACGCTTGACTACTAGCTGAAAGGGTGGCAGGTCGAACCCACCCAGAGTTGCCTAGGAAGACAAGCCTGGTGATCTGCTTCTGAAAGGTCATAGCCTTGGAAAGACTATGGAGCAGTTGTACTCAGAACCGAGTCAAAAGCGACTAACAACAGAAGAAATTGCAGAGTTGGCCAGCCAGGGCGCTTACCAGCTTGTAGGTCATAAGAAAATCTATTTAAGCTTAAGCCGGGGGAGCAGGATTGGGAGGTAAGGAAGGAACGTTTCACTTTTTAAACTCTGTACTGTGTTAAGTTCTCACCAGTATCTCTTGCTTCTATAACACATATATAATATTAATAACTAAATAATAAGGTACTATGTACAAGAGTGTGTACAATGACTGTCACATAGTAAATTCTTAACACAGGTTCACTGGTTCCAAATCCCTAGCAGGAACAGTTAATTTTTAACCATGTATTAAAAATGAGGTGGCTTATTGACAATTTATGATCAACAGCAATCTGTGAATAAATTGCTTACCCTTTCTCGAAGTCTTGAATCATACTTTACTGTCATATCTTTGCAAAACATACTTTTCTCCAAAATCCCATGCATGGTCTGAAAATCAAAACACAGCTGTTTCTTTTCTAATAAAAGTCATCACCGTTCTGACCAAAAGTTCAGAGTACTCACAGATTTGTTTGACCTTTTTGAGGCTTATTTTTAACCTTTTTGAGGACAGGTCTAGACTAGCCTTTCTTAAGGCTATTTTAGCCTCACTACTAAGGTGTGATCCCTCTGGAGTTCCTACTGTACACTCAGTGTACTCACCGAAATCTCTCTACTTTGACTGTGAGACTCTAGGAATTGTCAGCTTACAGCTCCTCAGTAACTGTTCTCCCCTCAGAAGTCATCCTTTTACCTGGCTTCATGTAGTTTCAACCTATACACCTGCAGATTAATATCCCAACTATTCAAGGGGGCCCCCTATGCACATTTTGACACTCCTTGCCTGGGTAGCTCCTTCTTCCCGTATTCTGCCCCACAAATTTTAGAAATCCTGGCTTCCCCAAATACCAAGCTCTGTCTCTGCAACTCACTGAGACCACCGGGCTCTGTTCAGATTCTGCCTCCACACTCTGGGGGGCCCTGGTGGCACAGTGGTTAAGTGTTTGGCTGCTAACCAAAAGGTCAGCAGTTTGAATCCACCAGCGGCTCCCTGGAAACCCTATGGGGCAGCTCTGCTCTGTCTTATAGGGTCACTGTGAGTCGGAATCGACTCGACGGCAACGGGTTTTCCACACTTTGGAAATTGCTTCAGACAGAAAACCAGGAGAATCTTAGGGCTCAACTTGTTTGTTTCCCTTCATTCAGCCCTTCATTCATGGACATGGTCCCACGTTGCCTGAAGCTCAATGTCTGAAAACACTTGTTTCTTATCTACTGTCCTGTTTTCTAGTTTTATGGGGGAGGCTAAGTCTCAACCCTGTTACTTCCTTGTGGTTAGATGCAAAAGTCCTCATCCACTGAATTTTTAATTTCAACATTATACTTTATACTTTTAGAAGCTGATTTGGTCCTATTTTTTTTTCTTTTCCTTAAATCTCTGGGGTCATTTTTATAACATTCTGTCCCCTTAAGATCTTTCAAACATATCTTTTAATTCTTTTATATGTTAACATAGTTGTTTTTTAATGTATCTGGTAATTCCAATATCTGAAGTTTCCTATCTATTGTTTCTGCTGGCTCTCACCCATGAAATCTTGTTTGTATTCTTCTTAGACATTTTTTCAAAGCTACTCTAATTTGAAAATTACCAAAATAAACTAAGAAAGTGAAGCGAAGAGAAACAAGTTCTGTACGGGGGGAAGAATCAAGGGTGATGGTGTCTCTGTGTGATTTAATTCCCTACAGTCTTAGGTGGCAGATTTTCCAAGGTTACACAATTGTACAGATCTCTGACCCAGTAGCCTTAATCCTGAACTCTACATGTACCTGTTTTGTCCTCGTGAGGTCACTGGAGAAGACGTGCGTAAACTTCACATTATTGAGGAATAGGCCAGCAGCTGCTGCTTGTTTAAACCCAGTTTCTGAAAGAGGCTCATCTACTCCTTGTCCTGTGGTAGTAAGAGAAGGGACAGTAACATTCAAAAAATACATATAAGGAATACAAATTAAATCACATGTAAAAGAATATTAACTGCACTATCAGTATTTTAGCAAAAGATTTCCTTGGGTAGTTTTTCACATAAATTTTCAAAGAACAGATAACAAGTAAAATGAACCAATATTCCATAAAGGCTCAGTGTTATGACTTAAATTGTGTCCCCCTCTCCCCCAAAATATGTGTTGGAATCCTAACCCCTACACCTGTGGAAAGCAGCCCTGGTGGTGCAGTGGTTAAAGCACTTGGCTGCTAACCAAAAGGTCAGTGGTTTGAACTCACCAGCTGCTCTGTGAGAGAAAGATGTAGCAGTCTGCTTCCATAAAGATTACACCCTTGAGGCGGCTTCTGTCCAGAGGTGAGAGGGGAAGGCAGAGAGAGTTAGGAGCTGGTTGAATGTTCATGGGGAATCAGGGGCGGAGGGGAGGAGTGTGCTGTCACAAAATGAGCGGTTGGGGTCTCATAACAATGTATGTTTAAAAAAAAAAATTCTGCGTGGGAGACTAACTTGAAATGTAAACTTCATTTAATTACATTAATTAAAAAAAAAAAAAGATTACACCCTTGAAAACCCTATGGGGTAGTTCTACTCTGTCTTATAGAGTTGCTATGAGTCAGAATCAACTTGATGGCAATGGATATTGGGTCTGGATACCCATGGATGTAATCCCATTTAAAAATAGGATTTTCTTCTTTATATTAATGGGTCACAGCAGTGTAAAAAAAAACCCGCTGCCTTTGAGTTGATTCTAACTCATAACGACCCTACAGGACACAGGAGAACTGCCCCATAGGGTTTCCAAGGAGTGCCTGGTGGATTCCAACTGCCAACCTTTTGGTTAGCAGCCGTAGCTCTTAACCACTACACCACCAGGGTTTCCATCCATTCCAGTGTAGGTGTGTCCTAAACCTAATCACTTCTGAGTGATGAAAGGAGCAGATCAGACACAGAGACAAGCAAGCACACAAAAAGGGATGGGGTGTTTGATAGATGCCATGTGGAAATCACCAAGAAACTCAGGAAAGCAGGGGCTAGAGAAGCTGAGACGATTTTTCTCCAGAGTGGAGAGAGAGCCTTGCCCTAAAGCCCGTGTCCTGAATTCAGACTTTTAGTCTCTTAAACTGTGCGAAAACAAGTTTCTGTTCATTAAAGCCACCTACTTGTACTTCCCTTACAGCAGTACTAACAAACTAAGACACACTGGTATTCAAATGTTTTCTAAAAAACGGTTTCCCTAATGAAACTTAAATGATGATGTTAAACTGTCTTAGGCTTTTCCCTATCACTGTATTTCATTAATTCTGACTCTGAGTTTATGTTCCCAACTCAGGAGTTGTATTAGGGTGGTAGGACCATCTTGAGTTTACTCCACTTTATCTCCATTGCCCAGCTGTTCAGTACTGTAATTGCATTACTTTGCTTTTCTCTCTTTTTCTCTCTCTTCATTTCAAAAATGCTTTGGAGCCTGTATTTCCAAGAGAAAGGCAGATTAGATACTCTAAAGGGCCATTCTACTACAGAAGAACTAAATGGAGCACTAAACGGTAACACGAGGAAGATAGAAGTTGCCATGATATGAGCACCATCAGCTGGGGGGACTGGGAAGTGGAGTATGAGTGAGGCCTGCTGCATGGGACTGCAAGGTGGGAAACTGAATCCAACACTCTTGCATGCAAGGCTAATGTCGTCTCACCTCAGTGGTGTAAACAAATGCAAATCCTCTTCACAGCAAATCATTCTCAATAAATGCCAACAAGCTTTTTTACTAATTTAGATCAAATAGTTCACTCAAAGACTAAACAAGAAAATAATCCTTCATGAATGAAAGTCAGCAGAAACAACAAAAAACAGATTTAGACTCATTAAGACTTCAGACAGCAAAATCAGCAAATACAGATTATAAAACAAATAAAAATAAAAGACACAGAAAAGACAAAAATAAGAAAGGAAGGGGCGAGGCTAAGTTGGCAGAGTAGTCAGATGCTTCCGGTGGACCCTCATACAACAAAGACCCAAAAAAACAAGTGAATTGATTATTTATGGCAATCCGGGAGCCCTGAACAACAAAGCCAGAGTTGAGGAACCGGACTGAGTGACTGGGGGAGGAAGAGACGGTTCAGAAGCAGCGAGGAGTTGCCAGTCCTGACCCAGTGAGAGCCCGAGCCCTTCAGGCCTGACCAGCTTGGGGGTGAGCAGTGAGGCAGGCAAACAGCAGTGCTCGGGAGGCACATTTTCTGCACTGGGAAAGACCCTGAGCCAGAAAGTCTACATGGCCACCCAGAACCAGTGAGAAGCAACCCTGGATCGGCGAAAGATAAGTAACTATGTACGGCCTACCACACGGATCAAAAACAACCCCCTTGGGAGACTCCGGCAAGATGGCGGTCTAGGCAGAAGCACCACGCCGTCCCTCCACAACAAAGAT